TTCCCCCAAAGATTGTATTGGGACCTGCCCTCCAACTGCATTAGAATTACAGAATGTGAAACCCACCTATTAAATTTTTTTTATTGAACAGGCTATAGTAGAAAACATGAATACAGTTTAGGGATGGTAAAAATGCTAAATTACACAACTGAATACTTAATGAAACTAGGTTAAAGAAGCAGTGTGGTCATACTTGCCTGGTCTCCCTGGTGGCCTTCTGACCACCATGCTGGATGGTCTCGGAGTGGACTCTATTGAAGATCTCACCTTGTTGGAGGAAAAGGATCTGGAGAAATACCTCAAACCCATCCAAAGTCGGAAGTTGATGAAGGGAATCAAGGATGGTAATTTCCTCTTTCCACTCTTTGATGTCACTAAACTAGGGCTTTTGAACTTTGACACAAGCTGTACACAATACACATTGTATTAAAAAAATGTAATTGCTTCTCCCTTTGGCTTGAACATTGGCTACTGCATTTTGGTGCAATTGCATGATATTTGTACCATTACACATCACAGGCCTGGTTTAACAGCAACGTTTTGTGGGTTTGGGGATAAAGCCATCTGTGGGACACACTTGGCCAATAGAATGGTGTTATGCTGCGTTCACATCTAGGCTTTTTTGTTGTGCAGTACTTCCGTCTCGACCGCTTGAATGTTCACGCTCCGTTTTCATTCGGCGAGCAGCTGACGACCCCAACAAACGCCGAATGACGTCATACAGAGGCGCGTCTCCCGCCAGCCGAGAGCGGATTGCGACTCGAGGCAGGGCATTACCAGCCAAGAGCGAACACGCGCCCCTCTGTGCCTCCTGGGACAACCCACATTTTAGCATTTATCAAACTGTATCTGGGGGCTGGGTTAAGTTTTTCTTTCACCATATTCAGTTCCACTTTAAATAATTTTTCTTTGTGCCCTCTAGGACTTGTTACTCTTAATATGGAGTTGGTCTCTGCTCCTGATCCAAATGCTCTAAATTCCCAAACTCCAAGTTCCCCAAACACAACACTCCAGTCTCCAAATCACCTGTTGTCCAGCCCTCCAAGCACGCCACACGCCTCACAGCCAGGGGTACCATGGCATGTTGACTTTCATCTCAACTTGGACCAGATGTCATCAGCTGTTCGACGTAGAGTGGAAAAACAACAAAGACCATTACCAGACGAAAGAAGGGCCTTCGTGGTTGCGCTTGTGGACCAAATGATGCAGCACGACCAAAACCCATCCAGAGCCATGTGCTACAACGTTGTGAGAAACATTGTCAGGTAAGGATGGGATGATCAGGGAAAGAATTAGCACCTTCTGAAAATTTTAAATGTAAATTGGAAGGAATACATTGTTTTTTTTTTCTTACTTGAAATATCAAGTGTGCTAAAGCGCATGGCAGGATACACGAAGGTTAAACTTGGTTCTTCAAGTACATGAGTTGTAAATGTCTGTTGTGTAACAATAGTGCAATATTTTCTACTTGACTACTTACTTTCTAATTGTCTATTAATCCCACACATTTTTAGGAGACATCCAAAGTCATTTGCTGACATTGGAAAGTATGGTGATACTACAGGAGATGGCTGCTATTCTCTACTACAGCAAGTGAAAACAAGAGTGGAGTACCACAACAGAACCAAAACTCTTCTTCGACACCGCAGAAAACGCTTCACAGGAATCGCAGGAGAGATCAGACAAGAGAGAGGTCCTGTTGACCAGTACGGGTATGTGGCAATATACATGTAATATCTGTTAACATTTTATCAAAAGCATTGTATATGACCATGAATAAGCCAGAAACGGAACAAAACAAATTTTATTGACATTAACTTAGACCTTTTTCCAGCAAGCATGAGCCAATTTTAAAAGTGTTGTAAAGACCGCTAACCCAGCAGCAGCTAAATGTATGTGTTGCCCCACCCCTTGTCGAGTTTCCACGTTTTGATCTGGAACCTCTGCTGCAAACAGCGTTGGGAAGGAGGGGGGGCCATCTGGTAGGAAACATTGAGCGGATTGGAGGACCCCTCGAATGTCCGTCTACTTGCTACAATGGTTTGTCTTTAGCCAATCACAGCTAAGTGGTTCCTTTGACTCATTTTTAGAAGAGCGTGACTTAGGCCACCCGTGCCTACAAGGTGGAAGCTCCAATTCTGTTGGCAAAAAAATTTGGCGGTCAGTAGGAATGTTCAAATAGCAGGAAGGAGGAACTAGGAAGAATAACGAATGTTGTGGGGTAGAAAAAAACTATCATAATTTTGAAGAGAAATATCTTTTGAAAGATTTAGGTATCTTTAATATATACACAAACACTGTGGACTGCAGCTTTATTTGGATAAACAACATCAGTGTTTACAACACTTCTACACTGTAACATAACTTCTGTGACATAAGTCTGTTAATGCAGTCACAACTGGGAGTCAAACGGACCCTTTAGTCATTGCTCCAACTTCTGGGCTATAACTGTCCCTAATAGTAGTGTTACCCTGTGATTCCCCTTCTTAGGTGTGTCAGGTGGGGCCCAGTGGATTTCCCAGAGGGGGAGACCGAGGCATCGTTGATGAAGATGAAGAGGGATCTACTGAACATCTACTCAGGCAGGCTTTCTACTGTTGTTTTGGGTTATTTTGTTTGGAGTTTTTTCATTGGTCAAGATCTAAAAACTGTGTGTTCGGCAGCTAACAAGACCAAATTGTTACTTTGGTACTAACAATACATTTTTATTGTCTGTATACACAGAGGAAGGAATGAAAGGGGCGGAGAGAGCAGAACCAATGATGGAAAAGACATATGTCATCCTCCGGCAATACCTTAACAAAATGCCTGCTGCAGCAATGTCTGACATCAAAGAGGAGTGGCCCTTTCTCTTCTCTCAGAAAAGCCTATTCTCACATTTTGCTCTTTTGACGGACATCAACGTCCTTCAGAAACTACAGGTGGCAATAAGTCAACGAGGACAGACCATCCTGGATTACTGTTCAACACTGGACCATCCCAACATCAATGAAGTTATTGTCAACTACGCTCAAGACTCTGATAAGGCTGCCTCCATCCTGCTGGTCCTAATGTTGTACTTCAAAGAGCCAAAAGAATGTTTGGTGCTTGAAGTTGATGTAAGATTTTGTATTAAAAAATTTAAAATGCAAATTGAATGATTACATTATCAACTGTACAATTTATTAACTTTGACCAATGAGGAATATTTATACTCTATCCTAAATCTATGCTGCTGTGTGATTATGTTACAGCCATGTGCCACTGCCGTGGACATAAGTTCTGCAGAACTTCCCACCAGCCCCTGCTTGATCATTCAAGGTAATATTACTTTGATCCAATATTGACATTTCTGTCTTGATATAACTTGTTTCATTCTTGAAATCTAGATGAATTTTGTAGCTGAAGTAGAAAAAAATGCTCATATCAGTCTTTTCATTTCAGGTGACATGATGAAGCCCTCTGGATGGCTGATATCCATCGAGGGACAGGTCATGATGGGCCCACACCCGTTCTTTTTACATGGTGTAGCTGCATTGTTGAGCTGCTATTACGTCTTCAACATCGAGTATCCTGCCACTGGATCGTTAACACTGGAGTTCATTCAAAGGTATTTTATAAAGATCACATTTAAAGTGACAGTGTGTAGTATTTGTCATTAATTTCTGGAAATATACGTTGAAATGTTTTGCAAAATGAATCAAATGAAGCCCATTCATTGAAAAATACCAGCAACTTTGTGACAAATAACCATAAAAATCAGGTATAAAATACACACGCGAGGGTCCGACTCTCTGGAGGACGCCATGTTGGATTGTATGTTTATTTTGCTGTATTTATGGTTTTGCTGGAGGTTTTTGACTCCTTTGAAAACTGTGCAACAACACTCTTCTTCCTTTTCTTGTGTGTTATTTGGCGGGTGGCACTCAACATAAAAAGATGCATTTTTCACCAATTAATGTTTTGGAGGGTGAACCAGAGTCATTAATCTCATATCAACTGAAACTATCTTTGCTTTTTTAACAGGTGCTTCCTGGGAATCAACCCTGAGAGAGGGTCAAAGACCAAGAAGCGAACAGCAATCAACCCTCGTGTGAGCACTTTTTTTAGGAAGCTCATTGATTTTGAGTGGACATCATAGATTTTTGCAGCAGTACTCAGGCTCAGTTCTTCAGTGTTCGTTTTTTTTTTTTAGATAAGTTTACGTTAAATGTTTTCCTGTTCTATTGCCCATAATGTTAAAGACTAAGGAGCGCCTGACCCCATTCCCTTCTTCACTGTCTCCTTTCCTCTCGTGTTGTTGTGAGGGCCTCATTCCCTTTTCTCAGTGTTTTTCCTCATTTTAATTTTACAACTTGAAAGATTAATCTTGAATTCTTGGCTGTATAAAATATGTTGAATAAAATTTCTATAAATATGCCATTGGATTAACACTGACTTTACTTTGGCGACGGGGTTGTATTTGTGCAACGGTAGTACATTTAAAGCTAATGGAACCTCAGGATTACTTATTACTGGATTACTTATTACAGTACATTACTGGATTTTTTATTTTTATTTTCATACATTGTAAATTCACAGTAAATCATTGTGAATTTGTAAATAGTACATACTGTAAAAGTACAGGGCCTTGTTGTAATGAACAGCAAAAGATTGTAATTCCCCAGGAATGAACTGTAATAGAACAGTAAATGCTTTGTCATTAAAGCTGTAAAGTTGCAGTGTACAATTGTGATTTTACAGCAGTACATTATAATATCACAGCAACAAAATTACAGTAAATTGCTGTGAGTGCATGTAACAGTATTTTACTGTGAAAGCACGGCAAAAGTACGGCAAAATTTATCCAGTAAATTATTGTGAATTCACGGTGAAAATTTTAAGAGTGTAGCCATCTGCTACCAGGAGACTTTCAAATAAAATGTTTAGATGCAAATCAAAAAGGGAGAGCTACAGACCAATACTTTGGAAACATTGTATAAATTTCATGGCCTCAGTGGCGTTTCCTGTTGGTTTTAAAGCTGTTTGCAGGAACTCCTGTGGCAGAAACATGGAGTGTGCTGCTCCCAACACGTGCCGCTGCAAACCAGGATTCACGGGATCCAGCTGTCAGACTGGTACAGGAATAACGTCTAAGATAAATCCCTTCTATCTTTCTTTTGTTTAATATAACATTTCATATGTTTAATTAGCAATCTGTGATCCAAAGTGCACAAACGGAGGCATTTGTGTCGCACCGGATGTGTGTCAATGTCCCAGAGGTTTCCATGGAGATGTTTGTCAGCAAGGTAAAGATTTAGTGATCTGATAAAAATGGGCTCAAATGCTTTATGTATTTGTTGGGAATTGGAATAATTATGCAGCACGCTAACCTGGGGAGCTCAGTCTGGGTACTGATAGATTTTATAGTTTATAACATTATTTTTATGTTATAAACTATGAAATCTATCAGTATTCCTCATATTTGTATGCATTTTTATAGTATATTTTATTATAAAAATAATTTAGATCTTTTTTCGTGCAGCTTTGTGCAGGTTAGCGTGTGAAAATGGAGGCAGCTGTGTGGGGTTGCAGACCTGTTCCTGTCCTTATGGGTTTGTTGGTCCAAGATGTGAAACAAGTGAGTCAAAAGTCGTCCTCAACTTTATCATTGGAGTCTTTTCTGGTGATGATGTAGGCACTGAAGGCTGGATTAAAGAGGCCATTCTGGGGTAAAACTTTTAACCACTATTAACTTTAGGGAGGTTGGAAATGTACTTTAACATCTCGATGTGTATTAAAACTGAATTAACTGCGAACTCCAGTTGGAAGGGTTGGAGGAACGCAGACAGCGGAGCATTGCCTCCAGCTCCTGGTTCATCCTCTCATATTGCCCATTTGATTGAGGATGAAACCCTAAGGTAAGTGCGACCTTGGCCCTGAGACAGGATGCAAAGTCTTTCCAGACTCGAGAGATGAACTGGGGGCCACGGTCAGAGAGAATCTCCACAGGGACTCTGCAGGGACTCTGCGGCGGAGGGAAGGACCTTCAGTGGTATGAGATGGCAGGCCTTGGAGAACCTGCCAACTACGGTCATGATTACAGAGAATTCTTGTGAGGGGGGAAGACTGGTAACAAAGTCCATTGCGATATGGGACCATGATTTAGATGGAACAGGTAACGGGTTGAGTAGGCCAAAAGGTGGTTGGTTCCTATAATTGTTACGGGCACAGGTCTGACAGGCGGAAATGTATTCCTTAACATCTTTGAACATGGTGGACCACCAGAATGATTGTCTGATGAGTGCCACTGTGCGGCTGACTCTGCGGTGAACTTAGAATCTTACAGTGTGGGCCCAGTGAATGACCTTACTCCTGACTGAGGGGGGAACAAACAGTGTGTTCGGGGGTACCTTGTCTGGGCTGGGTGTAGCTTTAAGGGCCTTGAGTACTTGGTCTCAGACCTCCCAGGTGATGGCTCCAAGGACACAGTCTGGTGGAAGGACGGTGGCTGGGTCCGGATCAGAGTCAACGGAGAACTGTCGAGAGAGGGCGTCAGGTTTGGTGTTCTTTGTGCCTGGTCTGTAAGAGATAACAAAATGGAACCAAGAGAAAAACAGAGACCACATAGACTGTCGTGGATTCAATCTTTTAGCCTCCTTTAGGTAGGCGAGGTTTTTTTGATCCGTCCATATGATGATCAGAATCAGAATCAGAATGAATTTTATTGCCAGTGCTCAGATCAGATCAGAGCATAGGAACTTGACTCCATAGTACAACCTGACCAAGGTTACACACACACATATAGACAGGACAGGTACAGGCAGACCATGGGAGCAGCCATGACAGCGCTCCTTTGTAGATGAATGAGGGAATACATGAGGAAAGTTCAGGGGAGGGAGAAAAAAGGCATTAACAGGGTTACACCAGCAGGGTGTAGCACTCTAATGCAAAAAACACCCGACATGTAAGCACAAACGTCACAGTTCACAACATGAGACCCGGTAGGTAGGGGGGGGGGGGGGGGGGGGGGGGGGGGCCTGGGATCCTGGTTTCCTCAGCGGGGGCTGCCTGTGGCGCTCAACCAGCTGGCTCCGCAGGTGGGAGGGAGGTCATGGGAAAGCACAGAGAGCAGTGAGTCCTTCAGCTTAATGACCTCGGTAGAGACCACAATCTGAAGGCGGGGGGTGGGGGGGTGGGGGGGATAGAGTTTCACAGCATTTGTCTGCATTCCTTCCATCGTGGGGTTTTTTGCACGCAACTCCAAGGCTGCTTATGGCATCAGATTCAATAACAGAACTTCGTTTGGGTCAGGCAGAGATAATTTTTCCTCTCTGCCTTAAAGTCTGTATTGATCATTCAAGTCCTCCAGTGAAGCCAATTAGGTGATTAAACATCTCCACACGTCCGGTGACCCTTTCTGAGATGTTATCAATCCTGCGCGCTAACACCGGTAACACAGCTAAGACATTGTCCAGCTTGCGATTCACCTCGAGCAACGTCCCAGTCTGTGAGGTATCCACACGGACGGTGCCGTCCATGGTTGCGGGTCGCCCTCCAATCGCTCCCGTCATCCCAGTTTTACGGAAAGCCAGATATCCTCCCACTCCAATCAGAAGAAATCCGACGATCATCAGGCCAAATATCCACATATCTTCGACGTCCTCAATGGACAGCTGAGAGAGACAGATGCTATTCCACTTGTTCCAGGAATCGAACATATATCCCACTGCATGTGTCCCTTGAGGGCAAGCGCGAGCCCCCTCCTCCATTCTCATCGTAGAAAAAAATCTTATCAATCGCATTGAATGACCAATTAATTAAATCCATGCTGAAAAAAATAGTGATTGCAGAGGAAATGCAGAGAAAAGCTCTGTAGGCAGACGGGACAAAAAGAGCCTTGGGAAAATACAGATAAGTGAGGAAAGGCAGAAGCGACTGCTCCCTGTGAGTGCCGGAAGAAGAAATGGGGTGCTCAGCTCCCTCCAACCAGTGTCTCCACTCTTCTAGGACGAGTTTTATGGCCAGAAGTTCTCAATCTCCAACGTCATAGTTTCTCTCGGCTGGAGAAAGGCGTCAAGAGAAAAAGGCACAGGGACGGAGACGGTGATCTGTGGGAGAGACTTGAGACAAAACGGCACCCACTCCCATATCGGATGCATCAACCTCGAGTGTAAATTGTTGTGACAGATCAGGTCGGGTAAGAAAGGTTGCATGAGTGAATTTCTCCTTGAGAGAGGAGAAAGGCCTGGCAGCTTCAGAGTTCCAAGCAAAAAGTTTCTTGATGGAGGTTAACTGAGTTAAGGGTGTGGCTGTCTGGCTGTAGCCTTTGATAAAACATCTATAAAAATTTGCAAATCCAAGAAATCTTTGCAGCTGCTTACGTGTCGTGGGCGTAGACCAGTCCTGGACTGCTAGGACCTTTTCAGGGTCAGGTTCCAGTCTCCCGCTCTCGAGAACGAAGCCCAAAAACTTAACAGATGGTACATGAAAATCACATTTCTCTGCCTTGACGTAGAGCAGGGGTTCCCAAAACTTTTCGGTCCGTGACCCATAAATTAACAGTTTCAAAGTCTCGCGACCCCCTGGAGATGAGTGAAATAATTAAACACACACGTGGAACTTAATCTTTAATAAGTGTACTCAAATAGACAGGTTTAGAACCTTCAACAGGTAAATATGGCACGAATTTACATTTGAAAACTGTAAAAGGCGACTCTGAAAACATTCTTGCTGTTGTGTGCAAACTTTAACATGTAACAATCCTTGGCAGTTTTGATAAGAACAAGGCAGTCAGTTAGCATTTTGGTTAATTTTCAGCTTCTAAAGTGACAGCAACTCAGTGCCACAACAATCTCCACACTTTCTCCCTAATTTTACTCTCTCCCGTCCCCCTCCCTGCACACGCTCACACATACACAGCATTGCCATGGCAACAAATGGACCTGCATCTCTGCCTCCCTTGAGTAAACATTTCCAGAACATATTAAAACAACACTCCTAAACGGGTTACAAATGTTTGTAACAAATGCAATTCTTGATGAAATCTTAAAAAAATGGTAACGGAAAAGTGCTTTCATTTCAATGTAGCAAAAAAAAAAAAAAAAAAAACTCGTGCAAAGTCACAAACAATGTAATACAGAGGAACTTTGTTTCCGTGCTTATTCACATTTTCAGAATGTATGAGATGGGTGGGCAATATGCTTGGAGCCGAGTAAGTCCATTCTGGGTTTAATTTTAGAGATGGCCACTCGAAGATCATCCTGCACGTTAAGACGTGATCTGTATTTATTTTTAATATATGTGAGGGTTGAGAAAGTCTTTTCGCACAGGTACGTGGAGCCAAACGGCATCAGAATGTCAATCGCAGCCTTAGAAAGCTGTGGATATTCTCTCTCAACTGAAATCCAGAACTCAGCAAGCATCTTTGAGTTAAAAGCACTCTTTAAGGTGCGGTCACTTGACAGTTCAACCAGTGCGTCCTCAATGTCAGATGACAAATGATGTGTGTTTGTTACGGTGAATGGAGATCTTATCCAGTCATATTTTTCTGGAGCTGTTTCCTCAGGAAAAAACTTGATAAAGTGATCCAAGAGGGTTTGAAGGTGCATGGTGATATACCCCTTAACGGTGTTAACACACAAATCATTTTCCTCCATGAACTCCTCCAGTTCAGGAAACATGTCAAAACAGCCCGTTTTTACTCGTGCAGACCACCGATCCAGTTTCCTTTTGAATGCATTAATTTTGTCATTCAGTGACATGATGTTTGCATTTTAAACTTGTAGTGATGTGTTTAACCCATTCAGCTTGTCAAATATGCAAGCCAAGTATGCTAGCCTTGTTAACCAGTCAGGATCAGTCAGATGGGCAGCAAGGTGAGATCCGTGCTCCAACAAAAATAGGCGCACCTCATCCCGCAGCTCAAACAAGCGCCTGAGAACGTTTCCCCGTGACAGCCACCTGACTTCTGTGTGGAAAAGCAGACTTTGATGCTCTGATCCCATTTCGTTGCAGAGAGCAGCAAACAGTCTTGTGTTCAGAGGACGGGATTTTATGTGGTTGACAATTTTTGTTGCACTCTCAAGCACCGTTTTAAGCTCTGGGTCTAGCGATTTACTCACCAGAACTTCTCTGTGGATAATGCAGTGCGTAAAGTTTATGTGTGGGGCCACTTGTACAACTCTTGCTTTAAGTCCTTTATTTTTCCCCAGCATTGCTGCAGCACCATCTGTGCACACACTGATGCATTCATCCCAAGACAGCCCCTCCTCTTTCAGTTTTTGATCAATTTCTGTGAAAATGTCCTCACCTGTGCACTTTGCTGACAGTGTGGTGCAAAAAAGCATGTCCTCGTGAAGTTTTCCATCAAAACTGTATCTGACAAAAACGAGCAGCTGTGCAGAGTTTGCGACATCTATGGATTCATCTAACTGCAAAGCGTATTTTCCTCTCTTGACTCTGTCAATCAACTGAGACTTGATGTCCTGCGCCATCTCTGTGATGCGCCGGGATATTGTCCCATCAGACAGCGGGACCGCTTTCAGCTCCTGGGCTTGTTTATCCCCATGCATTATTTGGCCCATTTGCGATGGCAGCAGGTTTTATTAGGATCTCTCCGATTGTGTGCGGTTTTTTTGC